TTTATTGATGAATAAGACACATGTACAACACCTAGGTGTCTTTATTGATGAATAAGACACATGTACAACACCTGGGTGTCTTTATTGATGAATAAGACACATGTACAACACCTGGGTGTCTTTATTGATGAATAAGACACATGTACAACACCTGGGTGACTTTATTGATGAATAAGCACATGTACAACACCTGGGTGTCTTTGTTGATGAATAAGACACATGTACAACACCTGGGTGTCTTTATTGATGAATAAGACACATGTACAACACCTGGGTGTCTTTATTGATGAATAAGACACATGTACAACACCTGGGTGTCTTTATTGATGAATAAGACACATGTACAACACCTGGGTGTCTTTATTGATGAATAAGACACCTGTACAACACCTGGGTGACTTTATTGATGAATAAGACACATGTACAACACCTGGGTGACTTTATTGATGAATAAGACACATGTACAACACCTGGGTGACTTTATTGATGAATAAGACACATGTACAACACCTGGGTGACTTTATTGATGAATAAGACACATGTACAACACCTGGGTGTCTTTATTGATGAATAAGACACCTGTACAACACCTGGGTGTCTTTATTGATGAATAAGACACATGTACAACACCTGGGTGACTTTATTGATGAAATAAGCCCACATGTACAACCCCTGGGTGTCTTTATTGATGAATAAGACACCTGTACAACACCGGGGTTTGTCTTTATTGATAAATAAGACACATGTACAACACCTAGGTGTCTTTATTGATGAATAAGACACATGTACAACACCTGGGTGTCTTTATTGATGAATAAGACACATGTACAACACCTGGGTGTCTTTATTGATGAATAAGACACATGTACAACACCTAGGTGTCTTTGTTGATGAATAAGACACATGTACAACACCTGGGTGTCTTTATTGATGAATAAGACACATGTACAACACCTGGGTGTCTTTATTGATGAATAAGACACATGTACAACACCTAGGTGTCTTTATTGATGAATAAGACACATGTACAACACCTGGGTGTCTTTATTGATGAATAAGACACATGTACAACACCTGGATGTTTTTAAATTGATGAATAAGACACATGTACAACACCTAGGTGTCTTTGTTGATGAATAAGACACATGTACAACACCTGGGTGTCTTTATTGATGAATAAGACACATGTACAACACCTGGGTGTCTTTATTGATGAATAAGACACATGTACAACACCTGGGTGTCTTTATTGATGAATAAGACACATGTACAACACCTGGGTGTCTTTATTGATGAATAAGACACATGTACAACACCTGGGTGTCTTTGTTGATGAATAAGACACATGTACAACACCTGGGTGTCTTTATTGATGAATAAGAACATGTACAACACCTAGGTGTCTTTGTTGATGAATAAGACACATGTACAACACCTGGGTGTCTTTATTGATGAATAAGACACATGTACAACACCTGGGTGTCTTTATTGATGAATAAGACACATGCACAACACCTGGGTGTCTTTATTGATGAATAAGACACCTGTACACCACCTGGGTGTCTTTATTGATGAATAAGACACATGTACAACACCTAGGTGTCTTTGTTGATGAATAAGATACATGTACAACACCTGGGTGTCTTTATTGATGAATAAGACACATGTACAACACCTGGGTGTCTTTATTGATGAATAAGACACATGTACAACACCTGGGTGTCTTTATTGATGAATAAGACACATGTACAACACCTGGGTGTCTTTATTGATGAAATAAGACACATGTACAACACCTGGGTGACTTTATTGATGAATAAGACACATGTACAACACCTGGGTGTCTTTATTGATGAATAAGACACCTGTACAACACCTGGGTGTCTTTATTGATGAATAAGACACATGTACAACACCTAGGTGTCTTTATTGATGAATAAGACACATGTACAACACCTGGGTGTCTTTATTGATGAATAAGACACATGTACAACACCTGGGTGTCTTTATTGATGAATAAGACACATGTACAACACCTGGGTGACTTTATTGATGAATAAGACACATGTACAACACCTGGGTGTCTTTGTTGATGAATAAGACACATGTACAACACCTGGGTGTCTTTATTGATGAATAAGACACATGTACAACACCTGGGTGTCTTTATTGATGAATAAGACACATGTACAACACCTGGGTGACTTTATTGATGAATAAGACACATGTACAACACCTGGGTGTCTTTATTGATGAATAAGACACATGTACAACACCTGGGTGACTTTATTGATGAATAAGACACATGTACAACACCTGGGTGTCTTTATTGATGAATAAGACACCTGTACAACACCTGGGTGTCTTTATTGATGAATAAGACACATGTACAACACCTAGGTGTCTTTATTGATGAATAAGACACATGTACAACACATGGGTGTCTTTATTGATGAATAAGACACATGTACAACACCTGGGTGTCTTTATTGATGAATAAGACACATGTAAAAACACCTGGGTGACTTTATTGATGAATAAGACACATGTACAACACCTGGGTGTCTTTGTTGATGAATAAGACACATGTACAACACCTGGGTGTCTTTATTGATGAATAAGGACACATGTACAACACCTGGGTGTCTTTATTGATGAATAAGACACATGGTACAACACCTAGGTGTCTTTATTGATGAATAAGACACATGTACAACACCTGGGTGTCTTTATTGATGAAAAGACACCTGTACAACACCTGGGTGACTTTATTGATGAATAAGACACATGTACAACACCTGGGTGACTTTATTGATGAATAAGACACATGTACAACACCTGGGTGACTTTATTGATGAATAAGACACATGTACAACACCTGGGTGACTTTATTGATGAATAAGACACATGTACAACACCTGGGTGTCTTTATTGATGAATAAGACACCTGTACAACACCTGGGTGTCTTTATTGATGAATAAGACACATGTACAACACCTGGGTGACTTTATTGATGAATAAGACACATGTACAACACCTGGGTGTCTTTATTGATGAATAAGACACCTGTACAACACCTGGGTGTCTTTATTGATGAATAAGACACATGTACAACACCTAGGTGTCTTTATTGATGAATAAGACACATGTACAACACCTGGGTGTCTTTATGATAAATAAGACACATGTACAACACCTGGGTGTCTTTATTGATGAATAAGACACATGTACAACACCTAGGTGTCTTTGTTGATGAATAAGACACATGTACAACACCTGGGTGTCTTTATTGATGAATAAGACACCTGTACAACACCTGGGTGTCTTTATTGATGAATAAGACACATGTACAACACCTAGGTGTCTTTATTGATGAATAAGACACATGTAAAAACACCTGGGTGTCTTTATTGATGAATAAGACACATGTACAACACCTGGGTGTCTTTATTGATGAATAAGACACATGTACAACACCTAGGTGTCTTTGTTGATGAATAAGACACATGTACAACACCTGGGTGTCTTTATTGATGAATAAGACACATGTACAACACCTGGGTGTCTTTATTGATGAATAAGACACATGTACAACACCTGGGTGTCTTTATTGATGAATAAGACACATGTACAACACCGGGTGTCTTTATTGATGAATAAGACACATGTACAACACCTGGGTGTCTTTGTTGATGAATAAGACACATGTACAACACCTGGGTGTCTTTATTGATGAATAAGACACATGTACAACACCTAGGTGTCTTTGTTGATGAATAAGACACATGTACAACACATGGGTGTCTTTATTGATGAATAAGACACATGTACAACACCTGGGTGTCTTTATTGATGAATAAGACACATGTACAACACCTGGGTGTCTTTATTGATGAATAAGACACCTGTACACCACCTGGGTGTCTTTATTGATGAATAAGACACATTTACAACACCTAGGTGTCTTTGTTGATGAATAAGACACATGTACAACACCTGGGTGTCTTTATTGATGAATAAGACACATGTACAACACCTGGGTGTCTTTATTGATGAATAAGACACATGTACAACACCTGGGTGTCTTTATTGATGAATAAGACCATGTACAACACCTGGGTGTCTTTATTGATGAATAAGACACATGTACAACACCTGGGTGACTTTATTGATGAATAAGACACATGTACAACACCTAGGTGTCTTTATTGATGAATAAGACACATGTACAACACCTGGGTGTCTTTATTGATGAATAAGACACATGTACAACACCTGGGTGTCTTTATTGATGAATAAGACACATGTACAACACCTGGGTGACTTTATTGATGAATAAGACACATGTACAACACCTGGGTGTCTTTGTTGATGAATAAGACACATGTACAACACCTGGTTGTCTTTATTGATGAATAAGACACATGTACAACACCTGGGTGTCTTTATTGATGAATAAGACACATGTACAACACCTAGGGGGTCTTTATTGATGAATAAGACACATGTACAACACCTGGGTGTCTTTATTGATGAATAAGACACCTGTACAACACCTGGGTGACTTTATTGATGAATAAGACACATGTACAACACCTGGGTGACTTTATTGATGAATAAGACACATGTACAACACCTGGGTGTCTTTATTGATGAATAAGACACATGTACAACACCTGGGTGTCTTTATTGATGAATAAGACACCTGTACAACACCTGGGTGACTTTATTGATGAATAAGACACATGTACAACACCTGGGTGACTTTATTGATGAATAATACACATGTACAACACCTGGGTGTCTTTATTGATGAATAAGACACATGTACAACACCTGGGTGACTTTATTGATGAATAAGACACATGTACAACACCTGGGTAGATATAATTATAGGAAGGTGAGAGGGAGACAGATAGATATGTAAGATAATATAATAATAATAATAATAATAATAATAATAATAATAATAATAATAATATTTGTGTCCTCGCTACAGAGTATTTGTGAACCGCAGTCTACACCTCCAGAAGATACACTTCTATGGCTTTGATATGGACTACACCCTGGCAGGTAAGACTACACCCTGGCAGGTAAGATTACACCCTGGCAGGTAATATTACACCCTGGCAGGTAAGACTACACCCTGGCAGGTAATATTACACCCTGGCAGGTAATATTACACCCTGGCAGGTAAGACTACACCCTGGCAGGTAAGATTACGCCCTGGCAGGTAAGATTACACCCTGGCAGGTAAGACTACACCCTGGCAGGTAAGATTACGCCCTGGCAGGTAAGATTACACCCTGGCAGGTAAGACTACACCCTGGCAGGTAAGACTACACCCTGGCAGGTAAGATAACACCCTGGCAGGTAATATTACACCCTGGCAGGTAAGACTACACCCTGGCAGGTAATATTACACCCTGGCAGGTAAGATTACACCCTGGCAGGTAGGACTACACCCTGGCAGGTAAGATTACGCCCTGGCAGGTAACACTACACCCTGGCAGGTAAGATTACACCCTGGCAGGTAAGACTACACCCTGGCAGGTAACACTACACCCTGGCAGGTAAGACTACACCCTGGCAGGTAAGATTACGCCCTGGCAGGTAAGATTACACCCTGGCAGGTAAGACTACACCCTGGCAGGTAACACTACACCCTGGCAGGTAACACTACACCCTGGCAGGTAAGATTACACCCTGGCAGGTAAGATTACACCCTGGCAGGTAAGACTACACCCTGGCAGGTAAGATTACACCCTGGCAGGTTAACACTAAAACCCTGGCAGGTAAGATTAACCTGGCAGGTAAGATTACACCCTGGCAGGTAAGACTACACCCTGGCAGGTAAGATTACACCCTGGCAGGTAATATTACACCCTGGCAGGGAAGACTACACCCTGGCAGGTAATATTACACCCTGGCAGGTAAGATTACACCCTGGCAGGTAAGACTACACCCTGGCAGGTAAGATTACGCCCTGGCAGGTAACACTACACCCTGGCAGGTAAGATTACACCCTGGCAGGTAAGACTACACCCTGGCAGGTAAGATTACGCCCTGGCAGGTAAGATTACACCCTGGCAGGTAAGACTACACCCTGGCAGGTAAGATTACGCCCTGGCAGGTAACACTACATCCTGGCAGGTAAGATTACACCCTGGCAGGTAAGACTACACCCTGGCAGGTAAGATTACACCCTGGCAGGTAATATTACACCCTGGCAGGTAAGACTACACCCTGGCAGGTAATATTACACCCTGGCAGGTAAGATTACACCCTGGCAGGTAAGACTACACCCTGGCAGGTAAGATTACACCCTGGAGGTAACACTACACCCTGGCAGGTAAGATTACACCTGGCAGGTAAGATTTACACCCTGGCAGGTAACACTAAACCCTGGCAGGTAAGACTACACCCTGGCAGGTAAGATTACGCCCTGGCAGGTAAGATTACACCCTGGCAGGTAAGACTACACCCTGGCAGGTAACACTACACCCTGGCAGGTAACACTACACCCTGGCAGGTAACACTACACCCTGGCAGGTAAGATTACACCCTGGCAGGTAAGATTACACCCTGGCAGGTAAGACTACACCCTGGCAGGTAAGATTACACCCTGGCAGGTAACACTACACCCTGGCAGGTAAGATTACACCCTGGCAGGTAAGATTACACCCTGGCAGGTAAGACTACACCCTGGCAGGTAAGATTACACCCTGGCAGGTAACACTACACCCTGGCAGGTAAGATTACACCCTGACAGGTAAGATTACACCCTGGCAGGTAAGATTACACCCTGACAGGTAAGATTACACCCTGGCAGGTAAGATTACACCCTGGCAGGTAAGATTGCACCCTGGCAGGTAAGATTACACCCTGGCAGGTAAGATTACACCCTGGCAGGTAAGATTACACCCTGGCAGGTAAGATCACACCCTGGCAGGTAAGATCACACCCTGGCAGGTAAGATCACACCCTGGCAGGTAAGATTACACCCTGGCAGGTAGGATTACACCCTGGCAGGTAGGATTACACCCTGGCGGGTTTAAGATTACACCCTGGCAGGTAAGATTACACCCTGGCAGGTAAGATTACACCCTGGCAGGTAAGATTACACCCTGGCAGGTAAGATTACACCCTGGCAGGTAAGATTACACCCTGGCAGGTAAGATTACACCCTGGCAGGTAAGATCACACCCTGGCAGGTAACAACACAATGGCAGGTAACATTACACCATAGCAGGTAAGATTTCACCCTGGCAGGTAAGACTACACCCTGGCAGGTAAGATCACACCCTGGCAGGTAAGACTACACCCTGGCAGGTAAGATCACACCCTGGCAGGTAAGACTACACCCTGGCAGGTAAGACTACACCCTGGCAGGTAAGATTACACCCTGGCAGGTAAGACTACACCCTGGCAGGTAAGACTACACCCTGGCAGGTAAGATTACACCCTTATCAGATAAGATTACACCCTGGCAGGTAAGACTACACCCTGGCAGGTAAGACTACACCCTGGCAGGTAAGATTACACCCTGGCAGGTAAGATTACACCCTGGCAGGTAAGACTACACCCTGGCAGGTAAGATTACACCCTGGCAGGTAAGACTACACCATGGCAGGTAAGATTACACCCTGGCAGGTAAGATTACACCCTGGCAGGTAAGATTACACCCTGGCAGGTAAGATTACACCCTGGCAGGTAAGATTACACCCTGGCAGGTAAGACTACACCCTGGCAGGTAAGACTACACCCTGGCAGGTAACACTACACCCTGGCAGGTAAGATTACACCATGGCAGGTAAGATTACACCCTGGCAGGTAAGATTACACCCTGTCAGGTAAGATTACACCCTGTCAGGTAAGACTACACCCTGGCAGGTAAGACTACACCCTGGCAGGTAAGACTACACCCTGGCAGGTAAGACTACACTCTGGCAGGTAAGACTACACTCTGGCAGGTAACACTACACCCTGGTAGGTAAGATTACACCCTGGCAGGTAAGACTACACCCTGGCAAGTAACACTACACCCTGGCAGGCAAGACTACACCCTGGCAGGTAAGACTACACCCTGGCAGGTAAGATTTCACCCTGGCAGGTAAGACTACACCCTGGCAGGTAAGACTACACCCTGGCAGGTAACACTACACCCTGGCAGGTAACACTACACCCTGACAGGTAACACTACACCCTGGCAGGTAACACTACACCCTGACAGGTAACACTACACCCTGGGAGGTAACACTACACCCTGGCAGGTAACACTACACCCTAGCAGGTAACACTACATCGTGGCAGGTAACACTACACCCTGACAGGTAACACTACACCCTGGCAGGTAACACTACACCCTGGGAGAGCCTCTTACCCCTGGGAGAGCCTCTTGCCCCTGGGGGAACCTCTTGCCCCTTGGGGAGCCTCTCGTCCCTGGGAGAGCCTCTTGCCCCTGGGAGAGCCTCTTACCCCTGGGAGAGCCTCTTGCCCCTGGGAGAGCCTCTTGCCCCTGGGAGAGCCTCTTGCCCCTGGGAGAGCCTCTTGCCCCTGGGAGAGCCTCTTGCCCCTGGGGGAACCTCTTGCCCCTTGGGGAGCCTCTTGTCTCTGGGAGAGCTTTTTGCCCCTTGGAGAGCCTCTTGCCCCTTGGAGAGCCTCTTGCCCCTGGGAGAGCCTCTTGCCCCTGGGAGAGCTTCTTTCGACCTGGGAGAGCATCTTGCCCCTGGCAGATCTTCTTTCGACCTGGGAGAGCATCTTGCCCCTGGGAGAGCATCTTGCCCCTGGGAGAGCTTCTTTCCACCTGGGGGAGCCTCTTACCCAAGGGGAGGTCAGTTTAACTGCCCTTTTGTAGTTATGCTAATTAGGTGCTGCCTTCCATCAAAGTCTATGTGGTGCTGCCCTCCATCATGACCTACATGTAGGTGTAGTGTGGTGCTGCCTTCCATCATGACCTACATGTAGGTGTAGTGTGGTGCTGCCTTCCATCATGACCTACATGTAGGTGTAGTGTGGTGCTGCCTTCCATCATGACCTACATGTAGGTGTAGTGTGGTGCTGCCTTCCATCATGACCTACATGTAGGTGTAGTGTGGTGCTGCCTTCCATCATGACCTACATGTAGGTGTAGTGTGGTGCTGCCTTCCATCATGACCTACATGTAGGTGTAGTGTGGTGCTGCCCTCCATCACGACCTACATGTAGTGTGTGTGGTGCTGCCCTCCATCACGACCTACATGTAGGTGTAGTGTGGTGCCTGCCCTCCATCACGACCTACATGTAGGTGTAGTGTGGTGCTGCCCTCCATCACGACCTACATGTAGGTGTAGTGTGGTGCTGCCCTCCATCATGACCTACATGTAGGTGTAGTGTGGTGCTGCCCTCCATCACGACCTACATGTAGGTGTAGTGTGGTGCTGCCTTCCATCACGACCTACATGTAGGTGTAGTGTGGTGCTGCCCTCCATCACGACCTACATGTAGGTGTAGTGTGGTGCTGCCCTCCATCACGACCTACATGTAGTGTAGTGTGGTGCTGCCCTCCATCACGACCTACATGTAGGTGTAGTGTGGTGCTGCCCTCCATCACGACCTACATGTAGGTGTAGTGTGGTGCTGCCTTCCATCATGACCTACATGTAGGTGTAGTGTGGTGCTGCCCTCCATCACGACCTACATGTAGGTGTAGTGTGGTGCTGCCTTCCATCACGACCTACATGTAGGTGTAGCGTGGTGCTGCCTTCCATCATGACCTACATGTAGGTGTAGTGTGGTGCTGCCTTCCATCACGACCTACATGTAGGTGTAGTGTGGTGCTGCCTTCCATCATGACCTACATGTGGGTGTAGTGTGGTGCTGCCCTCCATCATGACCTACATGTAGGTGTAGTGTGGTGCTGCCCTCCATCACGACCTACATGTAGGTGTAGTGTGGTGCTGCCCTCCATCATGACCTACATGTAGGTGTAGTGTGGTGCTGCCCTCCATCATGACCTACATGTAGGTGTAGTGTGGTGCTGCCCTCCATCATGACCTACATGTAGGTGTAGTGTGGTGCTGCCTTCCATCATG